ACGTACATAAAGTGGTTGGTACATAGTAGCTAGTGCCTTGCAGTGTTAACCACTTTTGGAAGTAGCTAATAGAAAGGATGTGAAAAACACAGTGAACTAGGTATTAAAATCTACACCGAGTACACTGCGTGCTTGTCACAGCTTAAAGGAGGGGGAGTCTTCCTTGTGTTAGGGTGTGTGGGAAGACACTGGAAGATGTCTTTTGAGCCATTCCCCAGTTTCGGAAAGTTTAAGTGGAGAGAGAGACTCGGGGACTCTAGGCAAAGGGCACGGTGTGACCAGGGGGTGGGGCAGGAAGTGTGCACTAGCTTGTGTTAGAGGGGTCCAGTGTGACCAGTGGGCTGGCCATCCACAAGCCCCTGGACCAGAGGAGCCATTGGAAGTGTTGCCCACCCTGGTGGGTTTCATTTTAAAACCTTGTAAGCTTTGCCTTTATCAGCAGTTGGCTGCCACTCCGTGTGCTTAGACCCATTCATTTGTGTTTGCTAGATGCCTAGACTCTGAAAGCATTTATGTTTACAAACCTCCCTTACACTGTCAACTGGGCTGAATGTGAAAATAGCACGAGAAAAGTATGGGACACATGTGTGGAGGGACTTGAATGCCATGCTAAGGAGTTAATTCCCGGGGAGCCATGAAGGGTTGCGAGCAGGGTGTTGAAGTAACAGGGTTTGTCTGCTCAGATGAGCTGGGAGATCCGTGAGGAGGCTTTGACAGTGGCCCAGTGAAGAGGAACCAAAGATTGGGGCCCGGGCTCAGAAAGAAGAGGGTGTTTGACAGCTGCTATGGAGGCTGACTTAACGGCGTTGGGTAACGGATGCGACGCTGGGATGTTGACTGAGAATGATGGTTCCAGTAACCGAAGAGGGAGGAGGTGGGAATTCGTGTGGGCATGGGAAGCATTAAGTGGTGATGTTCTCTCCGTTTGAGGTGGGAGGCTGACTTTCTGCCCACGCTGCTCGGTGCAGCCGTTGTGAAAAGTTGGTTTTTGAGAGACTCGGTGTTCTGGGTCTCTTTGAACTCTTCCTCAAAGCTCATGTTAATAACACGACAGTTGTTGACAGTCCAATGACTTCATGTAGCTATTGTCTTACGGTGGCCTTTACGTAGTCCAAAGCAAATGGATGTGGGACTGTGGTTAGTACACAAGAGAGAAATATGAGTGCTGACAAGTGGAAACAGAGGCAGGGCCATCTTGAGTGTATTTTCAAGTTGCATTGAGGGAGCTGGGTCCTGAGGGTGCTGGCCGGAAGGCTCGCCTCACGTGCCCTGGGCTGGACTAACAAGCTCAGACTTGGAAACACACGTTGCCGCCCACCCCACCTGCATGTGCACTGATGTCTCGCAGGTGAACAGTGTTCTGTGCCTCTACCTGCTAGGAGGATTTTGCCCAGAATCCACGTAGTGAAGAGTCCTGACACTCCTATAAGAGGGCTGGATCACAGAGGTCACCAGAAAGCCTTGGCAAATGATACGGCAATAGCTATTGAAAACTGAATGGATGCTTACCGTTAGCCTGTTTTAGGTCAAATTAACCCGACGTGTATTTTTTTTAATGGGCTGGAAGTTTGCTTTGGGACGCCACGCGTGGAATCGGATACAATAAGAAAATGCTCAGGTTTCAGTAGTACTTGGAATTTTACAGATTTAGCGTTACAGCGTCGCCTATGGCTTTTTCAGTTAATGTTAATAGATTTTTCACGCTGATTCCTAAGGAACAAATCTTTCTTTATATAATCCTAATTCCAGTGAAAATGTACTGCACCGCAGTGGATGGTCTGTTATGTAATATAATTTCAGTTCCATGGAGTCGCCTTTTTTTGTTAATGTTAACAGTATATTGCACACAGAAGACTATTCCATAATGTTTGAGATTTGCTTTATAAAAAGTGCATTTACAGAACATTCTGATTTTGAGGGGAAAAAGAAAAACACAAACTTAATATACGTAAGCAAGCATTTTGCTTTAGGTACATTTAAGGCAAACACATGAGCTGTATTTTAAACACATTAATAGAATTTGCTTGACTATGTACTTCTTAGTTTGAATTCTTTTTGTTCTAGTTTGGGATGTTTTGATCTTCTTGTAAGATTTAAAATTGCTCATAAAAGCATTAGGACTTTGATTAGAAATTGAAAATCATGCCTTGAGTTTTATGCCCATACTGAAAATGCTACTCTGAGATGAAACAGGAGTTTGTTTCTGATCGTTGGTCTTGGGCCACCCTCAACCAGGCTTCCTTTTAGGGTTTTTGTTTGTAGTGTCCTGAGCTACAGCTTTAAAATAGGTGAATTCAGGGTATTGGTTTAAGCCTTATGGGGCCAAATCGTTTGAATTTGCATGCTATCTATTTAAAACACAAATAATTTCTGAATCTTTCTCATGCAAACTGTAATGAGGCAAACTCTATGTTTATTAGTTTCCTCAAGATTCCTTCCCCCTTGTTCCTTGTATCTTTCATTGCGTGGATTTTTTTTTTTTTTTGGTGGGGGTAGGGGGAGGAAATGGGGGTTGTTTCTTTATTTCTCTGTTTCTCTTTATTGTTAGATTCTTTGTTTCAAGGGAGAAGCATAATTTCTGTTTCCAGCATTCTGTTCAGAAACTTTATGCCCTGCTTTTGCATTGCATGTCACCTGAGAGACTGGCAGTACACAGCAGACAGCAAAGCTGTTCCTTTTCATCTGTCTTTTGGGGAAGATGAAAACTGAGTTTTTGGCAAACAGATCTCGGGGTGGCTCGATCTTTTCCAAATGAGTTAGTATAACCCAGGGACCTAACTTGAGTTCTGGTAACGACAGCTATACCGTCCAATTTTCCTTGGAGGATAGCTTTTGAGAGGGAAAAACCTTTTAAAATGGAGAGCTTTTACAGATATATTAATCAGATATTGGTAGAATTACACCATCTGTCTCAATATGAATATTTTCCAGGAAGCCAAGGAGAGCCCTCTCTTTTTTAAGATTAATATTGTTGGGGAAGAGATTTTCCAACTTTAGATTGCATCCTTTATTATGTTAATTTCCCTCAAGACCAAAGCCTGACCTTAAGAAAGGGTGAGGGGGTTCTTTCTCATAAAAATAGCAGCCATTGAAAACATTGGAGGAAAAACACAGCTTTAACAAAAAAGCTCTAGCAAACGATTTAAAGGTTGTAAAGTGCATTTTTCTAAAACCAGTAGATATCTTTTAAGCTTAGTGTTGATAAGCTATTTTAGGCTAAGGATAATATCTCAACTATAGCATATATCCACAGATAGATGTACCCATTTTGCTGGGGGGTTTTTTGTGTTTTTTTTCTTCTCATAAGTCATATTTTTTCCCATTTGGACCTTTTGTGTCTGAAATGCCAGGAACTCTTCTTGTTCTGTCCATTCTCAGTTCTTTTAATTACTGCTTGATCTTGCAGAACCTGAGTTGTAAAGAGCTAGCTAAAAATAGACTTGTCACTGTAAGCACCTCCTCACATCTGCTTTTTTCTGGGTCCCTGCAAGGTTGACCAGCTTTTTCTTTTCTATTTTTTTTTTTTTTTTTAGCTGCATATCAAAAACAGTTGGAGGAAAAACCATCTATTTAATCAACATTTGCTGCGTTAGAAGTTGATTTGGATTTTAACCCCCCCCCCCCTTTTTTTTTAACCAAATCTGTGCATTCAGGCAGTGGAAATTGCCAGGTCAGGTAGCCATTTAGAGGCTGATGAGGTCCTGATGAGCCTGCTCTGTTGTCTTCACACCCTCTGCAGGGTTCCCAAACAGACAGGGCACCCCCTGGGCGAGCCTGTGGGGCGTCATTTTCCGTAATTACGCCACGGGTGCACTAGGCATGAGTGGGTGGCGGAGTCCAGAGTCGCCCATCTTAGGTTTGCTCAGGATCCAGTGTGAGCACACAGGTTTGATGTCCAGAGTGGGGTTTTGGGTCCAGGTTCTGCTGCTTTCTAGCAGAATTGCTTTGGTCCAGGAGCCTTTTTGTGACATAAAAAGTGGGGTAATCGTGCCTGCCTAACGCTTGTGAAGGCCTGGGATACAGCGTCTGTGCAAAGAAATGCACTTGAAGGGAAAACGAGAGAGCAGTGTCATCTTAAACCAAATAAAACGGGATGTGTTTTGGTAGCTTTTACTTAATCTCTCCTGGGTTCTGAAAGCAGCGGGCCCTTACCCATTGTTTCTTCTAATCCCTGCCATGGATCAGCAACCCCCTTCCCCCCCACCACTTGAGAATGTCCAAACAGCGCATGGTTACTGTTGAAAACCCCACTTGTCTTGTGTCCACTGGGTTTCTGTTATTTCTTTTTGAAGGTTGGAGTAAATTATATGTTTTTTTGTATTTTCTCTTCAAACATATTTAATTGCATAAATAAGAGGCTTTCCCACTCTTGGTTTTTAAGGAAGATGGTAGGAGGTATGATGTATGATCTCATTGTAGAAAGATAATGAATTATTTTTGCCAAAGCCTGTTCCCCAGTCCATTGGGGAATAGCATTCAGAATAATTCAGTCAGCATGTGTTGTGATTGTAACATTTATTTCCTCTCTACACACATTACATAACCCTAAGCAAGCTGTGTAATTCATTTACTGACAGTACAAAATTTCTTTTTTAATTTTTATGCCTATGGTTATAGGTTAAAAAATAAGTTTCCTTCCTTACCTCATTCCCTGGCCTCCCATTTTCTGTCTGCAGAGGCAACCACCTACGTTTTTTAAAAATTGAAATCCATGTATTCCATGTAATGCTCATAATTTAATGCTCATAATGTTTTTGTCCTTTCCTCTCTCGGCCTTTGGTTAAGATCGAGTGCGTGTGTGTGTGTGTGTGTGTGTGTGCAGTGTAACTGCTGGTTCTGAGTTAGGGGAGCAGCGAGGAGCAGTTAGTAGTCACACGTCGGCGTGTGTGAGCAGAGGTGAGCAGGCTCTTGCGGGGATGTCTGTCAGTGTAACGTCCTCTGGAGCCCGGGTCTCCACAGCATCTTTTTTTTTTTTTTTTTTTTTTTTTCTCACTTTCCAGTTGCAGCATGAGAAAGCCGAACTAGAGCAGCACCTGGAGCAGGAGCAGGAATTCCAGGTCAACAAGCTGATGAAGAAAATTAAGAAGCTGGAGAATGATACCATTTCTAAGCAGCTGACCTTGGAGCAGGTAAGCATGGAAAGCCCTCGCGGCACATCCCCCCTCCCATCATCCACTGTTTTTTCAAGCCTTGGGGTGCCCTGAGGACTATCAGGGAAGAACATGTCTCAGCTCCTCCTTCCCATGGGGGAGACTTCCTTTCTGAAGGTCTGCACAGCACCTGCTCACGCTCACGCACACTTTCTCTTTCTCTAACCCCAGTGAAGGAGAAGTTTGTGTTGTTCTGATTGATGGGCAGGAAACGTTAGGTTCCTATTTGCAAAGGGGGAAGATGGTGTTTTTAACCGCAGGATAGTTTCTGTGAAAGTTCCCAAGACAAGTGTTGCTTCTATTTCAAGGGTTTTTCAGAACAAACGTTAGCCTTTTTTAAAAAAAATTTTTTTTTTTACATTAAGGTTTTTTTTACAACCTTATATGAGCTCTGTCTTCTCCTGCCTAGATTTGTGGATTCAGATATGGAATCAGAGACTCGGTTACCCACCTGACACAGCCACTAACTAGTTGTATGACCTTGAATTAACTTCATTTCTCTGGGCCCACGTTTGCCATTTGTAAACAGAGAAGGACAGACTAAATTCAGGCAAACTAAGCTTAGAAAGGTGCACAAGGAAGACAGGAACAGCGCCTAATCCCTTTGTCCATCGCCCTTGGCAGACGTTGGTATTTGGTTGGGCCCTTGCCTGAGGAGTCCAGACTGGCTCTTAGACTCCAGCACGTAGAACTGTAGGCAGCGGTGACTGGTCCACACAGGTTGGTATGTCAAGCAAAGTTACCTGTCAGTCCCTGGCCTACTTCCTCCTTCATGCTTTCCCCCACTGTAGTGTCCTGAAATTTTATTTCCCCTGAGACAAATAAGAGGCTGAGCACAGTGTTATCTGATTTCCATATAAAACTCAGTACATTGATTAACACCTTCTAGCTTTTTGTAACTTGGATCTCGATTGCCAGTGTGATGACTCGTCTAACCCTTTCATGCAAAGTTATCCCATCTCTAGGCTCTCGGTGTATCCATGCTGACTGGTTCTTCAGTCACCCTCAGAGCCACACTAGCTTCTTCATTACGCCTTCGAATGAATGGTGATGGGAACGCGAGGTTTGAGAAGAACTCAGGGTTTGTTTGAAACGTCCCTAGCTGGCTTTGCGTGTTATTCTTGACCCTACCTCTATGTGAAAGGGAAGAGTGTGACTGGGTTTTCCACGACTATGAATAATGGCCCTAAAAATACTTCCTCTATCCCTTTCAGATAAAAGGGAAAAAATTCCATCCCCGAGGTTTTGCTATTGTATACATATTCCGAGTAATCTATTTTTACCACGTATCTTCAGAATTCAGGTGCAATATCTAAATTTAGAAGGCTCCTCTTTCCCCCACAGTTTAAAAATATTTGGTTCTAAAGTTCACCTGTTTAATTCTCCGGGTAGGCAATAGCCAGTTAGTTCTATTCAAATTAAAGCATTGAAGATTCTCCTTCAGTCCCTGATACACCAAGTACCTGTTAGTGGTACTCGAATAAAGAATTGACCGGTTGACATTCTCGCAGTAGTTGGTATTGTGAGAACCATGTGGCCATGGCCTTCACAGTGAAGGTGGTCCACAATGGAAACAGCTTTGCTCTTGTCTTCACAGGCTCCTACGGGGATCTTGGGGTGAGGGGTGTAACCCCCATGGTGGCCACAAGGGGGAGGTAGTAGCCTAGTGTCAGAGACAGAGGGGCAGTCTCATCCCAGAGTCCCTGAGAGAGGCACCCCCTTAAGCCTCTTCAGTGATTTCACTAACCCCTTTAAAATGAGGCCCAAAGCACACATTCTCTCTGACTTAATGACTTAGGGCCTTTTCAGGTTATTTCAGACCTCACCAGCGAAGGGGTGGATTTCCACAACAAGAGTACATGCTTTGCTAAGACCTGTACCAGAAATAGACCTCAGATCCCGGATATCAAGTTCCTGTTTTAATTAACATGGAGAAATTGGACATAATCATAAAACGTCCCCTTCTTTGTTTTGGATACGTTCAGGATGAGTCAATGTTGGAGATTTTACTCTGTATTTTGTTTCGCTATAAATAATCGCAGACCGTGGTTAGGGGAAATGTTTGCTTATTTTTCCCTCCTGTGGGAATAAATCTGTTTTATGTTTCCTTGGATGTGATCTGACCCTCTCTGTGGTCATCTCTTGGGATTACCAACTGTATTATATTGTACACAGTATGTCGTAGTCTATGTTATATAATGTGTCCTGTACTAGACACTATTACCAGGAGAGCAAAGGCATATGCTACACTATTCTTTATCCTGGTTAGCAAGTAGTCCATGTCTTTGCTCTTCTATCTGACAAATTAAAATTAGAAGTTATTTGAAGGTGACATTCGAGGTGCCTCATGCCCCGCCCGCTTTGCCGGAAGAAGTGTGGATGTGGGCAGGTGACTGAGGAGTGGTCTTTTCCATTCTGGAAGGCAGGTCTGTGTGGTGCTCAGGGCCTGGCCACAGTGCTAGTAAGAAACCAGGTTTGACCTGTTTCCTCTGCCTAATACCTTCGTTCACTTTTTTTTACTGTAACATCTTTATTGAGATATTATACAATTCACATACCATACAAATCACCCATTTAAAATGTATAATCCAGTGGTTCCCAGCATATACAAAGTTGTATAACCGTAATCACAATCAGTTGTAGTAAAAGGCGAAAGATTTATGCGGTCTGAAGAGAAACCAGAGCATCACAATCAGTTTTAGACCATTGTCATCAGCTCCGAAAGAAACCTTCTGCCCTTCAGCTCCTCCATCTCCTCTCCCCCTTAAGCAAGAACCACCCCACTGTCTGTCTCTGTATGTTTGCCCCATTCTGGAGACTTTATGTACATGGAATCATATAGTGACATGGTCTGTTGTGATTGTGATTGGCTTCTTTCACTTATATATATATATATTTTTTAATCCATGTTGTAGCATGTGTCTGTACTTCATTCCTTTCCTGGCCATATAATGTTCCACTGTGTGAGCATACCATATTTTGTTTAGCCTTTCATCATTTGATGGTCCTTCGTTTTGTCTCAACCATTTGGTTATAAATAATTCTGCTGTGAACATTCATATACAAGTCTTTTGTGTGGACATCTGTTTTCATTTTTCTTAGATCTATATCTAGGAGTGGAATTGCTGTGGTATCTCCGTTTACCTTTTGCGGGGATTGCTTGACTGTTTTCCCAAGCGGCTGCACCACACTGATGATGAAATGGTGTCTCCTGGTGGGTGTATAGGTTCCTGATGGCTCATGATGTTGGGCAGCTTTTCAAGTGCTTATTACCATTTGTGTATTTTCCGGGGGTGGGGGGATGCCTCTTAGAGATCTTTTTATTATTGAATTCTAAGATTTCTTTATATTTTAGATACAAGTGCCTTATCAGATATATCATTTGAAAATATTTTCTCCTATTCTGTGTTTTTCACTTTCTTGATCATGTGCTTTGAAGCATGGACATTTTTAATTCTGGTGAAGTCCAATTTATGCATCTCTTCCTTTTGTTGCTTTTGCCGTCATATCTTAGAATCAATTGCCAAGTCAGAGGTCATGAAGATTTATCCCTATGTTTTCTTCTAAGATTTTTGTACTTTTGGCTCTTACATTTTGATCCATTCGAGTTAGTTTTTTATGTATAGTGTGAGGTAGGGGTCCACATTCATTCTCTTACGTGTGGCTATTCCATTGGCCTCAGGTTCCTTATCGATAAAATGGCAATAGTAGCAAACCTACGTGAGATGCCATGAATGAGAGCGAGGGTAAGGTGGTTCACAAAGTGCCTACTATGTAAGCACTCAACATGAGTTAGATGCTGCTGTTGATTTATAAATCATTCAGATTTTGAGCCTGATGGGTTGCCTGTGCGGAAGGAATATTGGAAGGCCTTCTACCAGGGATTTGTGTTGGCCAGAACATGTTTGTTTTAAAGGTGTCGCTTGGATTTGTAATGGCTTTTAAGTAGGCACCTGCCCACTCCCTGTAAAGCAGAACTTACCAGGGTTTGAGACTCAGTCTTGGGCTTTCTGGGAAAGTAGGCCCCAGTTAGCTCACAAGGCAGAAGGCCCTCGTGGTAAGTTTCTCTCCAAAAGTCAGGCCTTTGGCATAGACACTTAGTCAGATACATTCTCCTCTGAGACCCCGAGTCTGAGATCCTTTCATTCTTCAAATAGGGAATGTTAAACTTCTTCAGCAAGGTCTCTGTGCTATAAATGGCCGGTTCTGTTGGTTGTTTTGCAATATATGAATCCACAGAATTTTAGACCTGGAAAACTAAAATCCTGTGAATTGGGGGAGGACTATCTTTGTCTCCAGACTCTGGTGGAGTCCAGAGACAGTGGGGAAATCATGAAGAAACCCAGAGGAAGGGGCGTCGGTTACACTTCCACGCTTCGGGACAACAGCCTCCTGGTCCCCTCTCCTCTGGAGAGGCAGTGGAGGTGGCATCGTGTGACTTGCCGTTTGATAACAGACCAGTTGGCTTGTGAGTGGCCAAACCTGCTTACAGTGCTTTTTTCAGAAATGGAAACCCAGACGGTGTGCGGGAGATGCTCCTCAAGATGCTTGGCTAAGGAGTTCTCAATCATTTATTTTAGCTGCATTTATTGAGCATCCTGAAAATAATGTAGAAACGCATGTTCAGAATAACATGAAAGTAGGAGGCCTTCGTTGCATTGGTAGTTAGTATTCGTCTAACGAACTGAATTAATCCAGTCAACAGGACATTAGGGCTTCTGGGGGCCCTGATTTAAAGCCTTTTGTTCAAATATGTGATCACTGTCCGTTGCTGATTTAAAATTCACGTTTTTCTAGGTGAGAACATTTAGAGATTGGAATATTCTCTATATCAACAAATCTTGATCCGAGTGATTTCTGCCAACTAGGAAGGATTTTGCTTCTCTGGAAAAGGGTAACTCGCATTAAAAGGCATGCATTCATTTATTTTATCAAATGAAGTTCCGCTCAGCAGATGTGAGGGCCTTCTGTGCACTTGG